GTGAAAAGTAGTGCCTGAAATCTAGAATAGCTTTAATATGTACTTTATCTCTGTCTTACTGTCTTAAGGGATAAGCAAATGCATACAGTACTTTAAACATTATCATTATTATCATTGGTGTTATTAATGATGGTAATGTAGTTGCAGTTTTTGCCATTTCCTAAGATACTATCTGATCTGCTGCATCTCTGCCTTGTTTGTTTGATTACTTATCATTTCAGGTCATAAAATATACCAAAGTCAGCAGTTCCCAACTCGACATGGTTCCTAACTCCTACAATCCTTTAAGAGGTGTCTGTTTTGTGTGCTGAACATTCCTAGACTCTGTTACGACTTGTGTCACTAAGTCCTTGTATTGGTACTGATCTTGAGAAAAAATGATTTTCTTATTGATTTTTAGGATTGTGAATACCAGAATCAGGTCCTTCTTAGGACATTTCAGATATTCTCCTTTCCAAGCAAAAACATTACGTTTTCTTATCTTGTTTCTGTATGACATTCCCTGGAATTTCATGCAGAAACATGGAATGGCATGGAATTACAGTAGCCTTTCCTTACAGTATGGTACTTTCCTTTCTTTTCACATAGTGATGCATCATGCATTACTCTGTTTGATTTAAATTCTGCACTGCTAGACTATATAATAATAATAATAATAATAATAATAATAATAATAATAATAATAATAATAATAACAACAACAACTTAAACTTATAATATAACTTACACTTCCATACAGTAGTGCTTTTCTGGACACTCCACTCAAAGCATTTTACAGTAACGGAGACTCCCCTCCACCACCACCATTGTGCAGCATCCACCTGGATGATACAACAGCAGCCATAGTGTTTCAGTACACTCATCACACACCAGCTATCAGTAGGAAGGAGAACAGAGTCATAAAGCCAATTCATAGATGGAGATTATTAGGAGACCATGACTGGTGAAGACCAATTGGAATTTTGGCTAAGATGCCGGGGTAACATCGGTGATCTTTTTGAGAAAAATAATAAAAATAATAAAGGTACTCTCAGGACCAGTAGCACACAGACACAAACATACTCACACCAGGGTCAATTTTCCCAGATGCCACTTAACCTACTAGTAACTTACAGTATATGTTTTGGACTGTAGTAGGAAACTAGAGCACCTGGAGGAAACCTACAGTATAAGAACACAGGAAGAACATACAAATGCCACACAGATAGTGTCACGCCCAGTACACCTAGAGGGCGCTCTACTTCTGTCCTGTTCCTAGTTCCCTGTGATTATTCATGTATTTCTGGTGTGTGTTGTTGTGTAGCCTATTTACTTCCTGCTTCTGCTCTGCTCCTCGCTCAGCACTGAGGTTCGGATGTCCTGAAACCCGTCTAGTTTCAGGACATCAGGTCGCCCCATGTCCGCTACCTGAGGGCATAGGTTTCTTTACGGCATTCCCTGAACAGCTGAGCCCGGGCTAACCCCCGTCTCGCCGCTATGCATAGGGTCTTTTTGGCTCTCCTGCTATTCCACGGGTCTTACCTTCCGACATCTGTGACAGATAGCACATCTTATCTGGAATTGAAATCCAGAGTTAAGGGAGTATAGATATAAAGACTTAATAAATGATTAAAAACTGATACAGTTAAAGGAAATGAGTACAATGAACTGCAAGCACAACTGACAAAAAAATAGAAAAGCCAAAGAAGAAATTAAATGGAATATTGCGATTGAGGCCAAAAAAAGATCATAAAAAGCACTTTTGATATGATGAGTATTACATAAAATATATACCAGGACATTAATGGGAAACATCTAGATAATTAAAGAGAAATGTCTGATGTTCTAAATTATTATTTAACTCAGGTGTACTCTAAAGAAGAAGTCATCAATAGCAGAGGAGACCAAATTCAGCACTTAGTTATACAGTTAATTTTAAAGAATCATTATTAGAACTAAATTACACCATAACTCACATGAAAATCAGATACTAAGTACAGTAATAGACAAAACGGATTTGGAATAGAACTTGTTAAGAGTTCTTTGAACAAGCAACAACAGTAATTGATAACTACAGAGCCTATGATATGGTGGATTTAGATTTCCATAAGGCTTTTAACAGTGTTCTGGCCAAATAACTGACAGATGATGTTTAATGTAGACGTTAGTAGCAAAAACATAAACTGTCCAGTAAATATAAAATAGGAGACAAGACAGACATAAGAGGATACTTCTGGAACATACAGTGTTTTTTAGTGTTTGTCAACACATTATTAACATATTCTAGACAATTTTGGGAAGCAAATTAAAATACAAAATATGTTAGAAAATTTAAAGTGCAGAATTTAATTCAAGGGTTATGTTAAAATTGTGCAATTGTGCAATGCATTAGTAATGCTAAAGCCTCATTTAAAATAGTGTGCACAACTTTGGTCACCACATCAGAGAAATAAAATATTGCTACTCTGGAATCAGTCCAGAGAAGAGCATCCAGATACATTTTGGGTCTTGAGGAAAAGCCCTATACTGACAGGCTGAAGAAACAGACCCCCCTTTTTTAAATACAAGTGGAAACTTGTGGAATTACATTTAAAACAGAGAACATGAAGCATTTTTTTTTAACCAAAGGGTTGCGGGACTATGAAACAAGCTACCCAGCAAATTTTGAGAAGCCAATAACCTTCTTTCAACAAATGGCTGGATGAGATCTTCGAATCAACTGGCTACTACTGTAAATACCAAACAGGTTAAATGGACCAAATTACCTTCTTTCATTGTTAACTGTTCTAATGACACAGTCTATTAATTTAGCCAGGTCCTGTTTTAGTGTATTTTTGTGAGGGCCATAGGTGTGAGACAACCAGAACTGAAAAGAACATTAGCAGCAGCTGGTATCTTTCAGCTTTTCTCGCAATCTGTTTTCCTAAATGTGTGCTTCCTGTGAAGGCCCAATGAATGACTCATAGAACACAAAACAGATAGGTGAGAACTTCAAAGGCAGTATGGGCACAGGTCTCTGTTGCACTCACTGCACTTGCTTATGATAATGGAACTTACAAACACATGTGTGCAAGAATTATCTATTACTATACTGCATATAATTCCTGATACGTATATAGTACTTTTCTGGACACTCCACTCAAAGTGTTTTACAGGTAATGGGGACTCCTCTCCACCTCCACCAATGTGCAACCCCACCTGGATGATGCAACAGCAACCATAGTGTCCAGAACACTCACCACACATCCGCTATCAGTGGGGAGGAGAACAAAGTGATGAAGTCAAATCATAGAGGGGAATTATTAGGAGGCCATGATTGGCAAAGGTCAATGGAAAAGTTGGCCAGGATGCCGAGTTAACATCCCTACTCTTTTTGGGATTTTTAATGATCACAGAGAGTCAGGACCTTGGTTTTACATCTCATCCGAAGGATGAGGCCTTTTTACAGTATAGTGTCCACACAGACTGCAGGGTGAGCGCCCTCTGTTGGCCCCACTAACACATCTTCCAGCAGCAACCTTAGTTTTTCCCAGAAGGTCTCCCATTGAGGTACTATCCAGGCTCGCACCTGTTTAGCTTCTCTGGGTTGCCAGTTGCGAGTTTCAGGGTGTTATGGATGCTGCCCGATATACAGTATATATGGAGCTCAAGTGCAGAGGTTCATATTGCCTTTTTTGATGAGAGGATATAAGAAAGATCACAATGATAACAAAGGCTAAAAAGCATTGTAAGACTGATGATGCAAGGATCTCATCCATCCATTTCATGAATGATCACCAGGAACTGACTAGTACAAAATGACTTGGTAGTTTAGCCTTGGGATCCCAAAACAAACGGTCTCACAACACTTAGTTTTGGTACTATGAAATTGCCAAGGATAACTTCAGCCTACCACACACCTTACTGGGTGCCAATGAGACTGTGGTGTTGTAAGTGAAAACTGTGTTGCAACTGCTCTGCAGTCATGGCTTTCCAGAGTTAAAAGCAGATGGTTTGACAATATACAGTACAATTCAGGGCATGAATTTCTGTTTTCAAGCTGGGCTGGTAGAGGATTACTGGTAGTAGTTACTGTATGTACTTTAGGCTTTACCTGCATGCAATATATTTCAGTAACTTATCCCTTTTTCTTAAAAAAAAAACAAAATAGTTTTAAAAACCTGCAAATAGTTTTGGGTCAATACTGGAGCCTCCTCTCTCAAAATCTGAAAAGAAAAGTAAAAACAAAGTCTGCTGTTTACTCTTAATTACAAGTGCTGTAAGGGTTAAGGGACAGTGTAAAGTTAGGCATGGCACCTATTCAATCGTAAGGAAACACAACGTTTAGAGGGTGTTCTGAACTTCATCCCTCGGAGGAAATTTAAATGTTAGCTGCGAAATGTAATACATTGTTGCAATCTAATGCCTTTGTCTAAAACAGGGCACAGTTCACGGCTTTATTGAGCAGAATGTAGGAGCACAATGCTCCTGCGCAGGTTTACACTCGTTACCTGGGCACTCCCAGTAGTACTGTACTGTACTGTACATTGTCCTGCCGCCGGATGTCTTCGGACATACTGTACTGTACAGAAACACAGCGGCATTTATTCATAACTCCATTAGAAATTGACTGGGATATATATATATATTTGATAATTAAATGCAAAATATTTATCCCTAATTTTAGATTACACTTTTAGGTAAATCTGTTAAGTATATACTGTATATATAGATTTACTTTGCTTTTATTTTCAAGTGTTTATATTATGAAATAATACGTATTATTTATGTGTGTATTTATTAGCTTAGCAGTGCCCTTAACTAGGGCAATTTACAGTTGCAAACATACGTGGATAAACACGTATTTTTGCAACTGTTAACTGCACATAATAAAGCGAACACAATAAATCGCTAACACTACAGGAGATAGAACACCGATTTGGAGCTGGTGCACCAGAGTTTTTCACAATACCCGTGCGTAACGCGCCAGCCTAGTTATCATATTGTACAGTAGGTTACCTGACAGCGTTGTGTTAGCCCAGTCGTGACTGTGAAGCTGTAGTTCACAGATACCACCCGTTTTACCCTTCTGAAGTCCCAGCAATTAGAATACTTCCGGTTACCGGCAGATTGTATCTTTAGAAACTGGGAGCTGCTCTCCTGAAGTAACCCAGGGCGGCGGGAGCGGATAACCAAATCATTACGAAAAAAATCTGGAAAACTGTTGTTGGGTCTTAACAAGCCAAAGTGAAGGCTAGAAGCAAGCGGCGCACGAGTGCTGTGCAGCAAGCTCTGTTTGAAAGGTTTAGGAAATTCGAGGTGGATGTCATTACTGAAGATGCTGTCTGTGATTTATAAAGCCTGAACGTAAAAACAGTTTTAACGAAAAGCAGAACATTGGGAAATGATTCAGTCTGCGTCTTCTGTGCATTATAACCGTTCAAAGAAAAATCTGGACAAGTTTCAAAAAGTTGAGAGCACATTCTTTTATTTTTTTCCTGGAAGGGTTGTGAATGAAAGAATCTAGAACTGGCTGTCTGCAAGTCAGAAGCAACAGTCGGGAAAGAAGAAGGCGATTTCTTTCCATGTTCTGATAACACATGGGTCACCTATTCTTAGATTAAAAACAGATTTAGACCTGTATGGTCCCGGACTGACCCTATTATTTACTGCACTCTTTTATAGGATTCGTGTGGCTGCAGGACGCGCACACATTTCACTTTCGCCATCTGTACTGTGAAGAACAAGCAAGGGGATTAGCGGGACAATCTTGACTGAGTGAGATCAGAACTGTGAAGCGTGGAGACTGTTTAAAAGCCTTTTTTGTTTTATATAGTGAATATATATCTCAGAACGCCAAGGTTGTCCTCCGTGAAGGTCCATTATGGCGTTGATAAAGAAAATGGACCTTATTGTCGGAGTTGCTTTAGTTTTACAGTCTTTTGGAAATGTTTTTCGGCTAACTCGGGGAGAAAGCACACCAGCAAATGGTAAGGAACCTTCATCTTCACACAAATTCTTAAATCTCCTTTCGCTGCTTTCACAAACTTACAGACACCTCTGTTCATCTCATGCGAGTGCGAAACCTCGAAGAACACATTTTATTATTGAGAACTAGTCTAAACAGTTGAGTCTAAATGTTTCGCACTGTTTATATGAACACTGATATGATAACTTGGAGGTGTCGATACATTGTTCCCTTTAAAAAAAAAGCATCAGTTTATCAAGTGTGATTATTTTGACCAGCTAATACGCAGGGTACTGCAAAACTATTAAGTCGTTTGACAATTTCAGAATTTATGACAAAGTTTTTATTGTTGATATTTTACTTTACGTGCATTCCACGCAATGTTAACTTATGCTGTCTTATATTTTTGTAAGGTAACATATTTTATACAGCTTGCATTCAGGCTAACTATGAGCATGAAAAACGTAAGTAAACGACATTAAAATGTATAGCTGCTTGTTGATGTTTTGATAGTCATAGGCTTATTCTCCGGCTCTGTCACCAGTCACGGGGCAATATACTTTTGCAAGATGTACGTTTTACAGTGCCTTGCGAAATTCGAATTCGTGTAACGTCTTTAGCTGATTATAATACAAAGAAATAATCCATTGCGTCCCCTTCAAAATGAGTGATTAATAGTCAGGGACATGACTGATTATTCTCTAAAGACTTTCTTCAATTATCTTGTGCAGATAAATTGCCCACTTATTGAGATGAACACCTTTGGTGTTTTTGACTTGGCTCTGACATTAGCGGTCTGAGTAATCCAGACAGCTTTACAGAAATATGAGCTCAAGAATTTTAAACGTCCATGCATATGCTAATAAGATTTTAAATGATAATCTTAAAACAATAATGCCTTAAAATTATCACATTTGATATGCGGCTGCATGAAGTAATAGGCGGTAACTTCGGTTTTGCTTACTGGGTCAAAATAGGACACCGCACTATGAAACTAAAATTAAGCCATGATACTACCGTCTGTATTTAAAATGTGATTGCACATCTATTAAAAGGTTGTAACCGAGGCACCTAAACGCACTAAAACTATCGATGTCGTAATAATATTAGTGTAACGATAGCATTTATAAGTATTGCAGGCTTTAGGTGTTCCACCTAAAATATTTTTCTCCGATGTCTTATTATATCAGTGCAGTAGTACATTACATGACTATAGGTAAAAAGTCTAGACTCGGAGAGTCTTAAATGGGTTGAAAAAATAAAAGTAGAAATTTTATTGAAAATACATATTTACACAAAGTGTTTATTGACCATGAAAAATCAGGAGGTAAAGCTTCTGAAGATCATGATGACATGGCTTTACAATTATTGTACGGTTTTCTTAGTCTATTTCTGGAATTTATTCAGGTCCTGTTTTTTGTTACCAGTCGTGTTGCTTACGTGTGTTCAAGTTTTTAAGCATAACCTAAATAGCTGCAACTACAGTATAAAAGATTCGGGACTCATGATTCGCTGCTACTGTACATCTGTTAATTTCAGGGGTTGACGAAGCATATTTACAGATGAAACAAGGCGTTTTTACTGGGACGATCTTCAGTAGTCCTGTTATTTTACACTGAATTCCAAACTATTCATTTCTTAAACACAGATTACTGTTTAGTTATTTGAAAATCGTGAAAATAAAAATGTGCCTTTAAATACTAAGCCTTATGTACCTTATCGTTCAAAGTTCCATCATAATTGCAAAGTGATTTATGCTTCAATAAATAGACCTTAGTTTAAAAGATAACCCATTTATTTCAGAAACCTACAGTATATAATGTTAGTAAAATATAAGTCTATCTCATATATTTTCAGATATGTTTTTCTTAATGGTTATAGTGAAGGCATTTTGAGTTCTTTGGTTTAGTAGTCTTGATTTGTGAGATTGTAATCCATAATGGCAAAGGTCCTGTATGAAGTAGACCTTGCAAAAGGATTTCTTTGTATATGAATTGAGTGAGGATATCCTTCATGTGCTCAGTGAGATTCATGTATGCTGCTTAGCCAGTGCATAGGCCATGGGATCTAGCACAATAATACTGCTGTTTTTTAAAAGATGACCATTGGCATGCACGAGCAGGTCCCTCCAAGAGTCTCAGATCCTACTAAGATGTCATCACACAGTGAAGTAATTCAAGAAGGTAGCTTCGTCAGTATGTGTAGGGTGCAAAGATACAAGTACTGTAAATGTTTATTCCGTGCTGGAGAAGCAAGAGAAGAAAAGAAACACAACATTTCGGCTGTGGTGGCTTCTTTGGGTGTGACAGCCAAAGTGACACCTGAAGACGGCTCCACAGCCGAAATGTTGCGTTTCTTTTCTTCTCTTTTCAGCATGGAATAAACCTTTATTTATTCCATCACACAGTAAAATATATGATACTTCACACATAGGCTAAGAAATCGCCCATATTATATTCCACTTTGCAAATGCGTCATTGAGGAATGAATGATACACTTATACACAAGCATTCTATGAGAAATTATATCAGGACTCCAAGTGATAGGGTAGAACGGACTGGGGGTGCAAATGTTGAAAAACTCTAGACCATGGCACAGTATCTGTGCTGTCCACACAGTGTGTATGGATTGTGGAGTTCAGTTCCCACAGTTTTCAGCTTCTGCACGTGGCAGCATTTAGATGGGACAACCTAGAAATTGTAGTGAAGAGAAGGCTGATGCAGCCATAATAAGACATTTTTCTGATATAAATTGCTTATGTTCCTTATGTTTTTGGAAATGTGAGATTTTTTTTTTATGTGTTATCATTCCCCACCTTGTCACTCCCCAGGTTTGACTCTGATCCAGATTTCACAGTTGAAACTGTGTCGTGTCACTGTAGATGACTGTAGCTGGAATTCTCCACATGGGACTGTTCAATTGGCAGAGCACCACTGACCACAGCTCTATGTTGGGTCAGCCAAGCCTCTCTCAGCTTTCCAGGAAACAGCGGCTCTTGTGGCTTTCCGGGCACCTGCAAGTGCCACCTTTTCTGTGAGACATTATGAAACTCGCGAAGAGTACTAAGATGAATAAGTTAATAGGTGAGCCGATGAGAAAAGTATGCCTGCCCATCTGTACAATATCTCTCAGCATGGTATAGGATTCAGCTACAGTATATGCCTAGATGTCACAACTGTTGATTTGGAAGCTGCTATGTAGGCTATTAAAAATATGACAGACATTTACAAAAAGTAGCTTTAAAAGTGCTTGAAATAAAAAAAAAAGTTATTGCACCTCCAATTATTCCAGTTTTGTTTTGGACTAGGAATTTCCTATCACTTCCCTGATGTTTTCCTGAGTGTGCATCTCAGGTTTTGTCAAGGATACTATATGGTTTGATAGGCTAGGGCATTAAAGAGAGCCACAGGTTCATGTTTCATTGTCGATTTGTAAGAAGTTGATGGGGTTCACTCTGTTAATGAATTTTTATTTTTTTGAATACTTGAATCAAGTCCCTGTGTAGTCTTCTCTGTTGAAGACTAAAAGTATTCACTGCTTTTCAGACGTTGGCTTATACCAATACATTAAACCTGGAAATGTATCTGTTTACTGCAGTCTAAACCAAATCTAAATAGAAATCCCTTTTCTATAAATTATACATACTGTTTTAAAAATAATTCTAACCTGTGCATGGCAAATACTGGTAGGTTAATTGGCTTCCTGCCTTTCTGTGAGTGTGTGCTGTGTCCTTGTCTGTGTATGTCCTGTGATGGACTGGCATCCTGTCCAGAGTTCCAGCCTGTCCCCTGTGACCCTGCATTGGATGAAGTGTTTAGAAAATGAATGGATTATAAATGTTGTATGGTAAATTCTACTTACTGTACTGTGATAGCGTGATATTTTTGTGAAAGGGCATTTTAAGATGCACCAAAACAGTTAAGATCACTGAAAAAACAGATGGATAAGAGAGGAAACTAGTTCCATCTTGGCTTTGTTGTTATCGGGCTTTTCTGGCAGTTTGTCTGATTCTGTGCTGGAGATTCCTTTTTTCTCTCTGAATCTAAGACCAAAATTGCTCACTACAGGAAAGAGGTACCAGTCCTTCAATTTAGTGTGTTGCAGGTGTAATAATTACTTGGAACAGACTAAATTACTATAAAAATTATAAATGTGACTAAATTAGTATTTTAGCATATTAGCATTAAAAATGCTCTAAAAGTAATGGAACAAATTACAACAATTACAATGGAATAGAGAATACAACAGAGACAACATGCTCGCGAATGCTTTCAATGTACTGCTGTTGAATATTGGCTGCAAACTTTAGTTAAGTTAAAGTACAGTACATATGCATGCATCTTAATTTCTAAAAATGCTTAGATGCTTAAAATTCTTAAAATGTTTGTTTAATGCAAGTGGCTATATCGCCTGTTTATTTTTGAGGTGGTACTGTATATAGTGATTTAAGTGAAATTTGTGTTCACATCTAAACAGCATTTTGTAGACATGAAGGTCAAATGATTGATAAAACCATGTTTGAATTTTTATTCTCAGTTGCCTTTATTGTCTTCACCAATGGTGACCAAACAACAGAATTTATCATCTTGTTGATTTTA